AAATTGTTTACTTATTAAAAAAGATGCCCTGACAAAATTTTAGTCATTAACCAGTTCTCTTATTAAATTAACTACTTGCGTTTGCATTACTTTAAATTGGTTTCGAAAACGCGCAATTGCATTATTAACAGACAAACCTTCGCTTTTCGTGAATCACTTGCACTTTTTGTAAGTCCGTGCAGCAAAGTTTACGTATTTGAATCTGACGTGTACCTATGCTCTGCTTACTAATAAGCCAGCCAAAGTTCAATGAACCAGTCATTCACAAACATACATATGCATGCCTTATTATACAACTTTGCATATACATATGTACATTAGGGTACAGAAATTTGTTTGGAGAAAATATTTCGAAGAAACTGTATAGCAAATTCAAATTCTACGATTAATTCTAAACAAAAATGGTGAGCAAACTATATACCAAAAAATACGTTTAACCCTCCCAATTTTCAAAAGAAAAAGCAGCACATTGTATGAAAAAAAACACAAAATTTTGTAAATGAAAAATTAATTTCGTTCAGAAAAAATTATAATACGTTGACTACACTTTTAAAAATTGGGAGGGTAAACATCATTTTCGGTATATAGGTTGTTAACCATTTTTGCTTAGAATCGAACGTAGAATTTGAATATGCCATACATTTTTTTCGAAATTAAATTACTCCGCTCTAATGTCCATACACGAATTACAAACGTGTAGGTACTTATGTATTCTCTTACGATTTGTTATGAAATCGAGATGCTAGTGACGACGATTGTTTTGACGTCATAACTGGGCAATTGTACGGGAAATAATCTATGTTTGGATGAAAATAAATAATGAGTAATGCATCCATTCATTTTTATACATACATATGTACTCATATATGCATGTACATTAAAAGTGCAATTAAGCTTGCTTGTTTATTACGTCGAAGTACTTTTTAGCGAATGTGTGTTTTAAGCTAAAGTTAGCAGCGAAAGCGTCAATGTGTACTTGGAATTTTAATCAGGCTGATGAATTTAATAACTTAAGCCACCTTTGCAATTGCACAAAAAAAAAAGCGTAACGCATGTGCAGCTGCAAATATGGTTTGAATGTTTTATCTATAGTGGTATGTGTACTACATATGTATGCACATTAGGGTGGTCCAATAAAATAATGTTTAAAATGTTAAGCTCTCACTCCCTAGGATTTTTCTAAATCGGAGAAAAGAATATCCGTATTTTTCACTAAAAAAATTATACTGAAATCGGCCTGAAAGTCCCTAAAGCCTTCCATGTATTGGATATGAAAAAAAAATACTTTTTCGAAATGGTATAGAATTCTTGAAATTCAACATTTTTCCCTTCTCTGTTTCTGTTTCTTTTTAGGAGACTTGCAATTATAATACCCAATCGTTTATTTTAATATTTTTTTATTCCCAACGATCTTTTATGGATCCCCCATTGCATTTTTGGAGTTTTGCTCTGCCCGAACCACAAACCAGGCGAACGCAGCATCAGCCTTCTAAGCATCGGATATAAGGTCTTATCGAGCGTTGTGTGTTAACGAACTTATTGCGCTTTATCAATGTGACTTTAGACCAGGTATGTCAAATATCGGAAAAGGCTCGCAATAATAGGTTCGAGACACATAATCGATTTGTCGAAGCCGCTTTCGACAGCAAGAAAAGAATTTATCTGACTATATGCCGCGAAGAATGTATTTTGTATCCCCGCGAAATTAATAAAGATTGCGCCGAATAAAATTGCCCGTCATACTTTGTTTCATATTGTTCTACGGAAGTTCTTAAATTAAATTGTTTTGTATCATATTAGCTACGCATTAAATGTTAGAAAATAAGAGTGTTTTTTCGTTAAATAAAATATTTATTTAAAGAGAATTGTAAGTGAGGCTTTCTGCTAACTTCAAAAAATATAAACTAACGATTCAAAATTAAAAAAGTTTTTTCAATTTGACTTTATAGGATGGTTCTTATGAGACCAATGTCAAATTCATTCACACTTTGTTAAATACATTTTGGTACCAACTTAAGCAGTTGTTCCAAATAACATAAAGTGTATTAAAATATTAAAGATGAATGTTATTAACCGACTTCCAAAAAAGGAGGTGGTTATCAGTTCGTCGGAATATATATATATATATATATATATATATATATATATATATATATTATATATTTGAAAAGCATGCTCTAAGTAGCCTTTTTGACAGATTTTCCTTTGAATGTATTCCAAATTTCAGAAAAAGACGCGAAACAATTTTGGGCAAACTTGTGTCGTACTTGGAAGAAAATTGGCTTTAAAACTGAACCCTGAACAATCTGCAAATGATTGTTCCACTAATTGCTAGAATAGAAGACAGCAGCACAGAATTTAAGCCTGAACACCTTGATTTAAAAAGTTTTGTCAACCTAAATATTTGTGAGTTTTGAGGAAAAAGTAAAAATCACCAAAAAATATTTTAAATAAGCCCCTGTTTTCAAACACATATGTACAACATGGCTCAAGGTGTGTTATCGATTGCAAATTCTCCAGCCAATGTTGAAAGGATCTTCTCCATTCAAAAATTTATAAAAACAAAATATCGAAATAGACTTCAACTAGAAGCAATTTTATCTTTAATAACAACTAGAGATTGCCTTAATTTTAGTGAACAATTCTGTCATAAAAAAGCATTGATAAAAAGTTCCGACACAGTTCAAACTACTTACTGGCTTCTTTGAAAATTTAAAAACATCTATGTATTCATTGTAAATCTTTATGTTTATATACATTTATGTACTTACATACATGCATTTAAAATCATAATATTTGATATAAAATGTGTAAAGTTTTATATAATAAATGAAATTATGTTAATTTTGTGTCTAAATTTTTAGCAATTATCTGTACTTTATTAGCAACAATAATTAAATACAAGTTGTACACAATATATATCAATAAATATATGACAATGTATATTTCTAAATGTCAAATGACTTTGTGTTTTAATCAAAATCATATTTGAAAACGCATATTTTGGAACATAATATAAACATTTTAGAATCTCATCTGAATATGAGAATTTTCAAATATCAAACGATCGTTTTAAAAAGCGATTTGGATATGTTCATATTAAAAACTAAAGTATAAATTTTAGAATATGAATTGATGATGTTTTTTTCTCAAAACTATAATAAATATTATAGGTGTAAAACCTGGGTCAAAACTTTTTTAAAAATAAAACGTTCCATACAAATATGAAAACGTAAACTTATCTCTGTATGAGAACAACCAATTTTTTTTTTGCTTATATCAACTTAGGGCATCATTTAGTATTACTTTTCCCCTTTAAAATTCATTTTCGTTTGTTGCGATTCGATTTTTCTTTCTCGAGATATACCAGTTTTAACGTGTAGTGCTTCGGTGCTAGCTTTGAAGAATCATGCTTACGAAGGATTTCAAGGTTAGATTTGTACTCAGCACCAAAAAATCTACAAGAAGCGATGTGTTTTACTTAGGTGGGAACATTTTGTTGAAATGTGTACTCGTTACGTTTTATTAGATAATTTAATTGCTATGGTTATGTTTATGGCTTTGGTATGGCACCACTAATTCAGCTTTTAGACCGTACCAATGTACGCAGTGCACCCCTGAATCAAAAGTACTTAAAAAAAAATGTTGGCCGACATTTTGTTTGTTGTTTACCTCGCTTTTATTATCTCGGGATGTAACTATGTAATATTGATGCGCCTAAAAGATGCAGCGGTTTCCATTCTCAGATTACATACCTGATGACAAGTACGAATGGGAGTCGCTTTGAACTTCCATTCTTAAAGTAACCTGATGACGGTACGAATGGGAATTTTAACAGCGAGGTTTTAGTTTTTTAAACTAAACTTTTTGTTCTACTGCTTAATGATTTTTCGTGAGCTTTAATTTACTGACATAACGGTCGTACGTTGCGGTGATAACAACTGAGATCTAATAGATAAGTACTTGGGGAGTAATTGAAGTCAATGAATTCCGGAACCACACCCAATTTTCTCTTTCAGTCAGGCACTTCTTTATAACGTACTTAAGGTTCCGAAAAAAAAAAAATTTAAAAAGGCGACACCTACACATTCGGTCAAAATAATTTTTTGTTTCGAAATTGACTTGCAAAGATACTTTAGATTCGATAGCGAACTTTTTCTTTCTTCTTATCCTCTTGTGCATAATTTTACTTTCAAATATAAGTAGGGACACGATATCTAACCGAAAGTATCGATATGGTACTCATTTAAAGTATCGCTGGAAAAATATCAGGTACCCATTAATATCGGAATAAAAAGACTCGATATCGCAAATATCGGTACCAAAATCCAAAAAAAAAAAATGTCTGAGAAAGTGATTAGAAACCTCCGAGCGTATTTCTGCCACGAAAACCAGCTTCTCATAAAAACGCCGTTTGTGGCAAAACATATATTTGTAAATGCCAATCTATTATTTTTACACGTGTTAAAATCCCGCCACATGCAATCCTAACGATAGTAAAAAATGTCTGTTCTTTAAAGCCCAATTTATATCGGGAAGAGTTGATAATCAGATTAGTCTTGAAAGGAATTTGTTCGCATTCTCTTTTGTGTTTTCTATTAGCTTCCAGACGCGTAAACTTTTATTGAATTCAAGTTCGTGGTTCTTTAAATGGGAGGTATCTGCACCTTCCCCTTTCTTCTCACCTCCTTCGCCTTGGAACGAGCAGACTTGAAATCAAGACTTGACGTGTCTGAAAGCTGACTAATTTGAGTTTATTACATTCGATACGATACTAGGATTCTGGACCTCGATTCGAAAAAATATCGTTTTAAAAATATCGAGTAAAAAATATCGGTATCGAATGCCAAAATTATCGATATGGTATCGTATCGTATCGAAATTCGTGTCCCTAAATATAAGTTTTACTTTCAAGTTTCTCACTACACTTATTTACTTAAAAAATAAACTATTTAGCACATCACTGTTAGTAAACAAATATTTTTTTTATATGTACATACATGAATAGGCACAGCACCAATGCCCAAATGTGAGTACATCCATTTGGTTGATATTTAACGGTAGTCAAAATATCAGCATGACATGAGGGACACTGAATGCGCGTTGGATCCTCGCTGAGTGGCACCAAAGTCGGCCTTGTTGTTGTTATGATCACCGTGGATGTCTGCGGTTGTGGTGGTGGTGGCATCTGATGTGCTGGCGGTGGTTGATAATAGGCCGCCGGCTGGAAACCGGGTGGTGGGGCGGAGTACGGTGGTGGTTGACTCTTATTATCATATGACATTATTAAGTTTTAGAGAAGAAAAACTTGATCGACAGAAACAAAAAACGCGAAAACGTGCTAGCGAACGAATTACTCAAAACCAATTTGTATGTTAATATTTTTTTTTAATTTACACAATTATTCAAATATATGGCAGTGTGTCTGATTGTGAGTAATGGCAAAAGTTAATTAACAATGAAGCTTTGCAGCAACCGTTATCGTTATGAATATATTCAATGTTAAACGCAGACTGAACTGAACGGAAAGAGCACTGAGCGAAAAGGTAGCACTCAAAAGATTGTGTGGGTGTATGGGTTCGTGTTTTGGGTTGTTGTCCGGAGAAGAGGAGGAGCAGAGACGGAATGATAAAACAAGCTCGCGCCTTATCGTTGTACTTTTTATAGAAGCACACGCACACATACACTTCTACTATGTCTATATGTATGTATGTATGTACTCATACCCATTAGCAAAAGAATTTATTATTGGAAAAAAGTAAACGAGTTATTTAAATGGTAAAAAACGAAATAATTTTATTAAAAAATTATGCTTTTTGTTCTCATTATTTTATTCGGTTAAACCTTCAAGTGATTGCTAAGTTCGCATAAATTATTTAACAACAAATTTTTTCAGAAACTAATTATATTTTCATTAAAACTGTCATACCGGCCGCTATGGCAAAGTTATCAACTTATTTGCACATTGATTTTTTCTCTTCTAATTTACAATAGGGCTGTTCAGGATGTTGTGGAATTGGTCTTGGATTTGCAGTGGGAATTGCATTTAAAAAATTTTTGCTTACGGACATGGCAACCGTGTGCATTTGATTGTTGTGAATTTACAAATGCAACGAATATGCAAATCCAAGAGCATATGCACAAGAACAGCCCTAATGATTTCAAGGACATGAAATGAGAACGATTCTTTTGGATGTTGTACAATCAGGTCACAACTTTTGTTAAATTGGGTACTACTGATCATTTCATATTTTACGGTAAGCGAGGTATTCAATTATAAATTTTCCAAGACACCCTCGTGTTCAAACTTAGTGATGAATTAATAAAGTTAGAACTTCACTTATCTATGCTAGTATTACCAGCGCATTTACTGTTTTTTTCACTTTGCTACTGGGTATCTAAAAGAGCTTTATATTTATTAGTATGAGATGACACATTCAACACAAATAAGTCTACGTATATTATTTTCTCGGTAAAAAAACCTTCCGTTAATACTTTAGTTAATAAATGCACATATATGAGTACATATGCTTTTCATATTAAAGTTTTTATTAATCACTTTATTGACAAATAGATTCGAAGCTTTGAGGGCACATTTAACTTGAGTATTTAATAACAAGTTTCACAATCAATTTAAGTGAAAAATATTTTTTTTTTTGAATTTAACGAAAACTGACCGAAGGGAAAATCAATTTTAATATAATTAGGTTTATAGAGTTCATACAAATTTTCGATTTACATAGCAGTTAAAGTCTTCTTTATTTTTTATGAATTTGGTTGTTATACTTTTAGGGCTGTCTGTAGTTCTCAACAAAAATCATAAGAAATATTTTTAAATATTTCTGGTCCTGTAAATTATCTTGAATAAATAAATATACGAGCATTTTTTTCTCCGTAGCTGGGGCTGGATTCTGTAACGGTGAGATTTCGTGTGCAACCTGAAAAGTGTGCTCACTCTTCATTTCGCAATTCAGGAAGTGTGAGAATGAGTTCTAACTTTCAAAATTGTGTGTACACTTCTCTTCTGAAAAACTCACAGCATTTTATTTGGTGACTTTTTGGTTGTAAACACTCGGTGTACACTGAATTTTCTCTCAGTTACAGTTATATATATTGATTAAAGCACTTTGATAGACGAACATTTCTATTTCAAACGTGCATGACATGGTAATGAACACTTAAAATAAATAGTTTTCGTTAAAAAGGGGTATCCCTATTTTCGATTGCCTTCAGTTCTGGGGGTAGCTGGAAACAAATTATTTTTTTTTAACCAACCTAATATACATACCAGGGAACTGCAATTATTCGTGTTTTTAAGTAATTGGTTGCATAACACAAGAAATAGTGTTAGTGGATATTATTTATTGAAGAATATTCACAGATATTTTTGCGCACGGCACACAAAGCGAGAGCATATACAATGACTACCCAGTAAACATTTGGAGTCATAAATAAGTCTGTAAGGAGTCCTATTTCGGAGCTTTTACGCTCATAATGAGCTCATATAAAAGTCTGATATGAGGGTGTTTCCCTTCCCCCGAAGGTCGACTTACGACCTTATGAGTCATATCGGACTCTTTTTGGCCTCCTATGCGGCTCTTTTTGGACTCTTTAAAACAATTTTTGGTCTCATATATAAATCATTTCAGACTCTTTTTGAGGCTCTTATCAGCCTCATAAATGACTACATTAAGGCTCTTATTTTAGGTCATTTTGTGCATCGTTTGGTAGACTATACTCGATAGTAAGTAGGGAATCCAATCCCAAAAACGCGGAATCCCGCGCAAATTTTGCCGGATCAGAAATGAGGGATTAAGGGAGCTTGCGGGTTTGCGATTTTTATGCGGGATTGGATTCCCTACTCGATAGCATGATAAAAACATAACAAGGTAAAACCATTGAGAGGCAGTCTGGCGTTTGCAAGCAATATAATTAAAAAATTCAAAACTCAAACTCACACACGCATTCTCATTTTCAATCTCAAACGACAACAATTGTGAACAATTAGATTTTTTTGTTTTAAATTTTATATGATTTTAAAATGCTTGCAAACGTCAGAAAAAAAATCATGGCCGACGAATTCAGAGAATGCATTTACCTTGTAATGTTTTTATCATGCTCGATACAGACAACAATTGCCGGCACAAAGAAAAGTAAGTATATTTTGAATGTGTTCTTGTTTTGGTGGAAATTACTCTAAGTCATTTTAGGAATTAGTGTAAGTACTCAATTGCACTGATTGTTATGGATCATGAATAAGTAAACTAATTTTATTATATATATATTCGAAAACTCTAATCACGGGATCCCGAGATTTTTCGGGATTTCGACTTCATCACAACTTTTTGCATTGTACAGTAGGTTCGCCTTTTTCAAACCACACAGATTCATTGTCACCACACTTGGGCTAAGGGGAGCATAATGCCCCTTAGTAAAAGAGTACGCAATTTGATGCTTAAATGATTATATTCTAAAATATCTACATATATTACTTGTCAAAAACATTTACACTTATTTGCAGAAATCCTTTTCCAAAAAAGGCCAACAAAGTAAAAGGAAGAACAACTCTGCCACACTGTAAAAGCTTGATGGGTTTTCAATTGCTACCACATTTTTTCGTTATTACACAGTTCTTGCACAAAATATTTGAACAAGTACAGTTATTCAGCAGTTCCTGAAATTTACTTCCTAGTGCAAATGGCTGAACTTCACTTTGCATAAAACTTTTGGCGTTCTGTATTTCTCGTGCTTCATGTCAAATGAATTATTTTTTTTCGTTTTCAACATCTTTTTTATTCTGTAAATGAATCAATAAAAATATCGGGATTCCGGAGCTGTGATCCCGGAATTTCGGGACATGGAAAAGTGTACAGTAAAACCCGCTTAGGTACCTCACAAAAAATGTCAGCTCTTTGAGGTACTTAGACGGTTAGGTACTGAAAAGAACACGCTTAAGTACTTCGATGCGGGTACTTAAGTGAACGTGACTATTGATGTAGTTAATCTTCTTGCAGCTTTAATTGTACTTAATCTCCACCGATGATGTAGATCAGTACTACTATATACACTGAGCGAAAAGTACAATGGTTTTTTCAACCAAGTTATTGTTTTTAAGAAGTGGGATTCAAGTTGAACATTTGAAAGCACATTTGTTCGCCTGGCTGTAGCTAGACGGGCAGATATGTTTGCTATTAATTGTCATGCTGGAAACTGCTTTGAATGCCGTCAGAGACAACATGTAACATTTTAATTAATTTATTTTTTGGTTCTTCTTAATAACAAAAAAACAGGATCTGTGAAGTGTAGAACAAACTCAAACGACGAAGAAATTTGATTCAAGTTGAACAGAAATTTTCGGAAAGGCTATAGCTAAGTGTGCAGAGATGCTTTCTGTTATTTGCTATCTTGCAGAAGGTCCAGGTTCAAGTCCCGTCGGAATAAAGATGTTAAAGTGATAATACAAATTTGTATTTGTGTCTCCTAACTATGGAAAAGCATATGTTTATTGTAAACAAAAGTGTGGTTAATATCACAAATTAATTATTGAAAATATCATTTAAAAATAACATTGTTAATATTAAGCCAAAATCATTTAAATTCCTTTTTAATTTTGAATTTGGTAATATTAACCAATTTTTGGTCGATTTTTTTCTCAGTGTACATGTGTCATACATACATATACAAGGGGTCAAAAAGTAGTAAAAGTACAAGTAAAAATTTTATGAAAAAGTGAAGCGCTCCAATTTTTACTACAGGGTGATACTGGTATGTATTTATGTGCAAGTATGTATCTTCACATATGTAGCTTCGACTTCTCTTCACATGCTATGGAACTCCTTATCAGCGCGCTTATCATTTTCGTGAATTACTCAACTAATGTAATCTTCATACATACACATACACATAAGTAAATATATATTTGACTGCACTAGAAAATGTTAATATAACTAGTATGGTTATATTCACCTTAAGTTATCGGTCTCAATTTGAGTTAGATATGTATTTTTTTTAATAAAACTTTGTTTGACTAAGTTAATATACATACGCCCATGGCCAATTGTTCTCAGCTTTTTAAACAGATTTTTTTTTTTGTTTTTTTTTTGAGTTCGCAGTCGAACAGCGCATTAAGTTTTAGTATGATAAAGGGTAAGATATAACTTGGCACTATTTTAATAATTTTTGCACAAAGATTGAAATACGAGTTTATATGATTTTGGTTACATATTGAGCTGTACTTTTATAAAAAAATAAAAAAAAACAAATATGACCAAAACTGGTCAATAGGTTCTTTAATCTGATATCTCATTTTTGAAAATCGAACGAATGATTTGATTACCTTCGCTTATACACCTATGGATGGCGGAACTGGAAGGGTAATGGTGAAAGTAATTAGAATGGTATTGGTATTCCTAATAGTAATGGCAAAGGGAATGATAGTGGTAATGTTAATGACAATGATAATGGAGGAGATAATTGCAATGACATCGTAATTTCGATTTCAATTTATCTCAATT